TCCCGTCTCCCTACTGCAGGATTTCCACAATTTCCCATCGCCAGCAACTGTTTGATTATTCAGATGATCTGGCTGCTGCTTCTGATTTCTATTCATTGGTTCGGGCCAGCGGCCGAGGCAGACACGAGAAATGTAAATGCATTACCGTAGCTGTCCTGCTGAGTTTAAACATGCACGTCATCGGGTTACCGAGGTGGGCTGAGAGTTCCTGTACCGAGCTTAGAGGAGACAACACTCTCAGTGTGGTCTGTGTAAGTCTGAGATCTCTGCAAGAGAGATTTTAGTGTACATATTACCAGACGTATTGGCTTGCAGACCCTTTTCATAATAATAGTACTAATAATAATAAATTAAGTAGTGCTGCCTACAAAACTACTATCTGTAATTAGGCAAGCACAACCATGCAGTAACACATTTTTTAAAGGGGTAGGAAATTATAGGGAAGAGAAAAGTTGGTAAGAAAAAACAAACAGTTTATGTTAGCTTTAAAAAATCGATCACAATAAACAAACAAAGGACGTTGCGGCGATTATCCTTCATCAGCACATAAAGAACAACACAGTACACATACACAAATATGCTCTAACTATGAAGTGACTACATAGGACTCTAATGTACAAAATAAATGATACTCATCTGTGTCCCTGGCGAAAAACTTCCTTCAAGATGAAGAACAGGTACTGGCCTATATCTAGGAAATGGACGGAGTAGACGCCCACAGACACGACAGCGTAAACTGAGTGTCTAAAGAGGGAGGGAGGGGTTGGCTAATAAGGCGTTACCAGGGTTGGGTCGTGGGGATGACATTGTGCCATCCGAACACAGTAGCTTTCCTTGATCTAAGTTTTACCACACATTCAAGATATCTACACATGATGCTTGCAATTTGACATCTACATGTTACACAGGCGAGCGTCTAGATTAGAGGTTCTCAACCTGCCGGTCGCCACCCTTTTGTGTGTGTGTGGGTCAAACGACCCTTTCACAGGGGTCGCATAAGACCATCGCAAAACACATATTTATTGAAGTTATGAAGGAAAATAATTGTCTGGGGGTCGCCACAACAAGGAAGAACTGAATTGAAGGATCGCGGCATTAGGAAGGTTGAGAGTCACTGGACTAGACAGAAAACTTGCACCATAAAAATGAGAACTGACAAATGTCGTGTATGCCCAACTCTGCTGTATGACCCAGAAACTGGACTCTGAACAAGCAATTATAGTAACAAACTAAGGACTTGAGGTGTTGTTATACGAGAAAGATAGAGGTCGCGATGGAGCTGTGATGCGCAATACCTTACCCTCTATTACTCAAGCATATCTAAACTTCTCATGGTGGACCCTGTCCTGCCCAATTATCCCGTGGAAGGTAGGGGTTTGAATCCCCAGCGAGAAATCTGATGCGACAACAAACGAATTAAATGCGAAATCTAGTTCCGTCAACCGGTTTATAGTTAAATAAATGCTGCGACACTGAAAGCTGTGAACTTGATGGTGAGTGCTTATTGTCTTGCTCATAGAAATGTGTACTGTAAACTGCATATTCAGAAAACGGCGAGAGCTCGTTGCCACAGAATTGACAGTGTGCATTATGTAATATTGCGTGTTCACCTCCTGGTTTGTCGTTACTGCTGCTTCCATTCACTGTGCATAGCGAATCTAGTGACAGATTGTAGGTGCTGAAACATCTGGCGACTGCCTTATACATTAAAGTACGAATGAAAAAATAATTGTTAAAACTACAAGAAAAAGAGACAAATAAAATAGTTCAGCCATAAGAAACATGTCGTAAAAGTCATGCTGCAGGGAAACGTTAAAGCTAGACGACTACAAGGTAGACAGCATTAAAAGTGAGTTAAGTGCGTATCTTTTTCAGAACGTTGCAGAACCAGCCTGAGCATTTTTTGTGTGTCTGTTGTTGATTTTCTAGGCAAACTAACGTCCAGTAGTTTGCCATTGCTTTCATGACGGTCGTTTTCTAGATACCTCTGTCAAAACCAGCTGGGACCGAGCCTGGGACCCCGACATTACGAACAGCATTCGCTGACAGACGCCGACTTACAATTGAGAGAACATTAAAAGATGGGCAAACAGCATACAATTATTATGGAAAATAATGGCAAGATATGGAGCAAGCGAACACCTCATCGAAGTGTGCAAAAGTTTATACAGGGATTGTAGAAGTGTAGTTAGAATAAATCAGGGAACATCTCATCCTTTCACAGTGACATCTGGAGTAAGACAGGGGTGTGTCTTATCACCACTGCTGTTTATCACCTACATCGACAGTATATGCAAGAATGCCAAGCCCATGAATGAAGATCTTAGTAAGATCAACGAATTACTCTTTGCAGATGATCAGGCCTTGATAGCAGATACAGCCATGAAATTGCAACAACGTCTAACATCCATGAATGAAGAACGTAAAACAAATAATATGAGAATCAACACTGAAAAGACAGAAGTAATGTCAATAGGAAAAAAGAAGACAGATCTAAACATAGCAATAGAATACAAAGGCATTAAACAGGCATCTGAGTTTAAATATCTGGGAACTACATTTACCGAAGATGGGAAATTGGATAAAGAAATTGACATTAGATGCAGTAAAGCAAACCAAGTATTGGGACAGCTAGCGCCCCTCTTACAGCATAAGACAATCCCAATCAGCACAAAGAGACATCTTATTCAAAGCATATTTATACCAACTCTGTGCTACCAGTGCCAGACATGGCCACTCACAAATAACCATAAAAGAAAATTAGTAACCACGGAAATGAGATGTATGAGAAGGGCTGTAGGAGTGACCATAAGAGATAAGATCAGGAATGAGATCATAAGAGAACAAGTCGGCACAGAGCCAATTCTGGATTACATACAAAGACAGCAAGTGAAATGGTTTGCCCACTTAGAGAGAATGCCTTGTGACACCATACCATACAAAGCATACATGGAAAGAGAAGAAGGACGTAGAGCACGGGGTAGACCAAGAACAATATGGAAGGATAACATCAGAGAAACTCTACAACAGCACGATGTGCCTATGGTCGAGGCAGCCAGAAGACCTAGAAACAGAACCTTATATCTCCCTCGACACCCACAGCGGTAAAAGAGGAAGTGATGAAGAAGAAGAAGAAGAAGAAGAAGAAGAAGAAGAAGAAGAAGAAGAAGAAGAAGAAGAAGAAGAAGAAGAAGAAGAAGAAGAAGAAGAAGAAGAAACAGCAGTGTCTGATAGAATTTACAACCGAGCAGAAGAATTTACAACCGAGCAGAAGAATTTACAACCGAGCAGAAGAATTTACAACCGAGCAGAAGAATTTACAACCGAGCAGAAGAATTTACAACCGAGCAGAAGAATTTACAACCGAGCAGAAGAATTTACAGCCGAGTTAAAGAATTTACAACTGATCGAAATAACTGACTGCGGTCTAGTTACGCATCAGCCAACTTTTTTTTTTGAAAAGAATGCACCTCATTAATTTAAATCTAACTGCACATTGCTCTCTGTAAACATTCCCTACCATGTGGAATCATTGAACACAAACGACCTCACACTAGTCTCTGTAAACATGCCCTACCATGTGGAATCATTCAACACAAACGACCTCACACTAGTCTCTGTGAACATGCCCTACCATGTGGAATCATTTAACACAAACGACCTCACACTAGTCTCTGTAAACATGCCCTACCATGTGGAATCATTCAACACAAACGACCTCACACTAGTCTCTGTAAACATGCCCTACCATGTGGAATCATTCAACACAAACGACCTCACATTAGTCTCTGTAAACATGCCCTACCATGTGGAATCATTCAACACAAACGACCCCACACTAGTCTCTGTGAACATGCCCTACCATGTGGAATCATTCAACACAAACGACCTCACATTAGTCTCTGTAAACATGCCCTACCATGTGGAATCATTCAACACAAACGACCCCACACTAGTCTCTGTAAACATGCCCTACCATGTGGAATCATTCAACACAAACGACCTCACATTAGTCTCTGTGAACATGCCCTACCATGTGGAATCATTCAACACAAACGACCTCACATTAGTCTCTGTGAACATGCCCTACCATGTGGAATCATTCAACACAAACGACCTCACATTAGTCTCTGTAAACATGCCCTACCATGTGGAATCATTCAACACAAACGACCTCACACTAGTCTCTGTAAACATGCCCTACCATGTGGAATCATTCAACACAAACGACCTCACATTAGTCTCTGTGAACATGCCCTACCATGTGGAATCATTTAACACAAACGACCTCACACTAGTCTCTGTAAACATGCCCTACCATGTGGAATCATTCAACACAAACGACCTCACACTAGTCTCTGTAAACATGCCCTACCATGTGGAATCATTCAACACAAACGACCTCACATTAGTCTCTGTAAACATGCCCTACCATGTGGAATCATTCAACACAAACGACCTCACACTAGTCGCTGTGAACATGCCCTACCATGTGGAATCATTCAACACAAACGACCCCACACTAGTCTCTGTGAACATGCCCTACCATGTGGAATCGTTCAACACAAACGACCTCACACTAGTCTCTGTAAACATGCCCTACCATGTGGAATCATTCAACACAAACGACCTCACATTAGTCTCTGTGAACATGCCCTACCATGTGGAATCATTCAACCCAAACGACCCCACACTAGTCTCTGTAAACATGCCCTACCATGTGGAATCATTCAACACAAACGACCTCACATTAGTCTCTGTGAACATGCCCTACCATGTGGAATCATTCAACACAAACGACCTCACACTAGTCTCTGTTAACATGCCCTACCATGTGGAATCATTCAACACAAAAGACCTCACACTAGTCTCTGTAAACATGCCCTACCATGTGGAATCATTCAACACAAACGACCCCACACTAGTCTCTGTAAACATGCCCTACCATGTGGAATCATTCAACACAAACGACCCCACACTAGTTTCTGTAAACATGCCCT